CAAGTTTATTAAACACATTTTAAAATTTCAATTATTTAAGGACCCAGGCAGTTTCATGAAACCGAGACCAATTTGCTGGTTTTTCATTTAAACTGGCTGGTCAACTAGTTTTCACCAAGTTTTATAAATACAATTATTAGGGTGTGACTGATTTGGCCATGGTCTAAGTTCTCGGTTCAACTAATCCAACCAGCCGGCCTAGTCTGATTCCTAAACAATGCACGTTATGACTCCATGCAAAATGTAATAAAAATGGTTTGGATTTTAACAAAAAGGATTTGATCACACCACATTTGGGCAATTTAATTTTATATGAACACACTATAGTTAGGGTTGTAAACGGATTGGATTTGGATAAGATTCAACAAAATCCAAGTTCAATATGATTATTGAAAATTGCATTTGAATCCGATCCAAAATCTGATTAGATTTAAAGACCTCATATTCGAATTCGAATTCTAATTCTAACAGAGTAGATCAGATTGAGATTTAATCAAACTCTTCTTTGATTTTTTAAAATACCAAAAACTAAAAAATTTAATTACTTTTCAACTTTTATATATAATAAATTAATAAAATATAACACAGTGAGTTTATTATATGTATATATATATATATATAAACTCATATTTAATATAATATGTAAAATATACTTTTATAAATTTAAATATAATTATATAAAACTTATATATTAAAATAAAAAATATTATAATATAATAGAATTTGGATTTTAATAAAGATCGGATGGGGTTAAGTCTAAATTCAATCTAATTACAGAAATACATCATCGGAACCATGTGTGATTTAATATGATATGAGCACACCACGGAGGATTTAATTTGATATGGTCACATCACATTTTGCATCCTATGTGCATGGGTATTGATGAAAACATGAAGAAGACTTTATTATTTGGGGTAGGGCTTCAAACCAAGGATCAAAATTTCATTTTCTTTCCGTTTGTATTGGATTGATATGGCCTGCATCAAACCATTTCAGGTTTGTATTAGTTAATAAGAGCCAAGACTTTAATGCATTGGCTGATACATTACGAATTGCTAATTATTATTATTATTTTTTTTTGAGAAAAGGCTAAAAGCCTATAATTCATTAGATAACTCAGTAGAGTCTTCAACAAAAGTTTTCTTCAAGAAATATCTGACCAAGTACAAGGAGAAGAGCACGACAGACCAAACCGAGCTAAGGCGTGAGCCGCTCTATTAGTCGATCTTGGAGAATAGACTACTAAGAAATCACAGTGGTGACACCGAATATTCTTGCAATTGTAAATGAGTGTAGTTACACTCCACGGAGGTTTGCTAGAGTCCTCCAACAAGAAATTAATCAAAGACGCACAGTCACCCTCACACATTGCCTTTGAGATGCCACAGGAAATAGCAACTTGCAGACTTTCGAACAAGGCTTGAGATTCAGCTTCCAAGGCCGAGCACAGCCGGAGAGGGATAGCTCGAGAAAAAACCAAGTTTCCGTGATGGTCTCTAATGATACAGCCAACAGTAGCACGAATTGAAGAAGTGGCCCCATCAAAATTAATTTTTACCAATCCAAACTAAGGCTTACACCACCTGAGAGAGGAAGAAGGAACAGATCCAGATGATGGACCCTCAGCACAAGGAAGAACTCCTACCAAGGATTGGTTGACAAAATCACGAGCCTTACAGAGGATCAGGTCTAGAGACCAAGCCTCCTTTCAAAATAATAAAATGCATTACACGCCAGCCAAATAGAGAATGCAAACAGGTAAGGAGGGGAAGGGAAGGACTTAGGAGGGATCCCCGAGGAAATCCAGAAGGAAATAAATTCTAGGAGAGATTGAATCATCTCATCCCGGATACCTAATTCCGAGCCAAACCAAATTAATTTTGCATTGGTGCACTTGAGAAATAAATGCTCAGCAGATTCCTCACCAATCATACAGAAAGGGCAGCAAGAATCAAGATTGTATTTCAAAGTGTTAAGTCTCTGTTTTGTGGGAAGAGCATCATTTAGGGCCCTCCAAATAAATATCAAGATTTTGGGACTGGTCCATTGAGTTTCCAGAATTTAGACCACTCGCAATCCCCATATAAAAAATTTGCCTTTGAGGAACTCGGGGAAAATGAGAGAACAAGTCAATAGGCAGATGAGGTGGAGAATTGCTAATTAATTACTCTCCCTCTCATTAAATACTTTAATTATTCCCTCTCTCATTTAATTTTTCTAATGAATTACTCTCCATCTCTCTCATTAATTACTTTTAACTACTTTGTCTCTCATTAATGTTTCTTTTATTGCTAATCCTTCTCATTAATTACTTCACCTCTCTCTCTCTTTTTAATCTTTAATGCAAGTTTTCAATTTGGATTTCAAATTTGGCACGCCATTCTAATGTCCAATGCACATAATTTTGGGTGTAAAAAACTAAAAAGTAAAAATTAATGTAGGCTATAAGAAGGGATTTAATTTGATATGGACACACCACATAGGATTTAATTTGATATGACCACATCACATTTTGTATCATGTTCTTGCATGAGGTATTGATGGAAATATGAAGAAGACTATTATTTGGGAGAGGACTTCAAACCAAACTTCAAAATTTCATAATCGTATCAATCCATATTGGCCGATATGTATCATTCTGATAAAGGCCCGATACATGAAATGTATAGAATGCATTCGTTTCATTTCTTTTTGTTTGTATTGAATTGATACAAGCCCGTATCAGACCATTTCACTTGTATCAACCAATACAAGCTGATACTCTAATGTATTGGCCGATACATTACGAATTACTAATTAATTACTCCCAATCTCATTAATTACTTTAGTTACTCTATCTCTCATTTAATCTTTCTAATTAATTACTCTCCCTCTCTCATTAATGTTTCTTTTATTGCTAATCCCTTTCATTAATTACTGCGTCTCTCTCTAATCTTTGAGGCAAATTTTGAATTTGAATTTCAAATTTGGCAGCCATTATAAAGCATTATGCATATAATTTTGGGTGTAAAAGACTAAAAACTAAAAGTAGTCTATAAGAAAGTTTAAACCCTAGTCACTAGCTTTAAATAACCTTTTTCTTTTTAGTGGATGTTTATAGGGGCGATTATGGGTTGGGTCAGAATAAGTAATTTATATATAAAATATTATATGTATGTAATATTATAAGTATCATATTATAATATTTATATATATGGATTGGGTCAAGCTTGAACGCAAAACCCATGCCCAACCCTGAAATTTTTGAGTTGGGTTGGGATGATCACAGTTAGATGTTTGTCAATAAATGCTAAGATTGATTATTACAATTTATATATTAATAAATATTAAGACAAATTATGTTGATTTTCTAAAAATGAGGTGTATATATACACATTTTAGTTTTTCTATCAATTTTCAACAGTTACCAATTGGGTTATGATCTCTTACACTTCATATAAACCATTTAGTAAGGTTTTTATGCTTAAATAACTTTTTATGGTCATATATACCATGTGTTTATTATTATTAATACATTTTAGGATTTATTTGAGCTTCATAGTGTATTCATGCATATTTTGGTTTTTTATCTGTATTTATACATATCCAAAGTATATTCTCATGTCTTTTAAAATTGTCTTTTCGATACATTTTAAGTTTCTGGTATTTTAAACTTTGCTTCAAACAGATGATAGATAGTCCCACATTTGATTCATTGATGTTTAAAATTGAATAGGATCTTATCTATAGACAAGGGACATAGTGGCATCATAGTTTTTCATAATAAAGAGTATTAAAAGAGTGTTTATTTCCACCCTCACACAGAATATTTCTTTTTTGAGACATGTATTTACCTAATCTAAAAAACAAGTATGAGCATCAAATGGTAATTGTTAATGCACAATCTGACTACTCCCAACTAGAGGGTGATCTGGCTTTCAATTGAGCAGCAAGCTGGATCTATCTGCAAGATAGTGGATCAGAGAACCCGGGGTGGCTAACCCGGCGAGGTTGCTCCGATGCTTAAATTAGTATGCTGTAATGCGAGCTGAATGCTTGAGGGTTTGAGAGCTTGAGAGCTAGAGAGTAGAGTAATCACATGTACCTTTGCCTTGAGGTTCCTGTCTTTATATACTGGAGTAGTCGTGGGACTCATGAAAGAGCTCCGTGATCTTCGGGGTGTGGAGATAGAGTTCGTTCTGCTTCCGAATCAGCAGTATGTAGATAAGGCTTATCATTCTACTTCCGACTCTGGTGGAACTAGGATGAGTTCTCATCGTGATTTTGGAAAAGTCGGGATCTGTTAGCTCATCGTGATCTCTCGAGATTCGGGATCTGCTGGAGAGACCTCTAGAGTTGGTTACGTGGGAGTCGGTTACGTGGCGATTCGGGTTGTTAGCCCCGAGCTGATACTTCGATTTTTTAGTTCCGAACTGGATTGGATGCCGAGGTGCCTTGATGCCAAGGTGAGTTTTGGGCCGAGGTGGCTGAATACTCGAGCTCAAATGTTGCGAACTAGGCTTGCCAAGTTGAATTGTCATCCCTTAATCAGGTCGTGTCCACATATCCCCTTCTCGCTAGGTCGGGCTAAATCACCATTCATCAGTAATTGTCTCCATTAAATAGTATTTTTTGAAAAATAAATTTACTTAAATATAAACATCAAATGATAATAATTAGTTAATTACCTCCATCCCTGTCCCGAAAGCCAATCTCCATCTCCGACCCCATCGGGTCTGGGAGGCCGAGTACCTGGAGCGGATGGGGCAAAATTGCCATCCATAAACCTTATCCGCTAATTCCAAATAAGAACATCCACCCATCCTACCAAAAAGAATTGATCAAGTGAAGAAATCGAGTATGCTAACCTGAGCCAAAAAACTCAACCGGAAAGTCCGATTGGATTTAAGGTTAGAGCTGGGGTTTCTACAACTCCCGACCTAACCCGAACCGATTTGCAACAAAGGTGCTTCCAATTGGAGGAGGGAAGTTCTCCTGATGTCCGATTGGAATCTATCAACACATACCCACCCTTTATCTGACATCAAATTGATTCGTAAAAAATTCCCCATCAGCCTCCTTACAATTACAACTGGTCCATTTTCATCCTGATACAGAATTAACTTACAGTAGGAAGTATGACCGCCATTTTTCTCCCCTTCGACGTTTGAAAGGTTGTCAATTCCTCGGTCGCACTCGCTCTCCTTGATCCTTCCTCCACTCACAGTTCACACAGTTCGTCCACTGTTGACTCTCACACCCACCTCCACCACCTGCCACCTTCTCTACGCAATCGACCAAAACCAGATAACTCCTCCGGCCTTATCATTTCCATGCTGCCAGAATTGCCATTGTCCATCTCTTCAACCTTTACTTGGTATTGGTTACTTTCTCGCCTTGTCTCTCCCCCCAACTCTCACTTCTTGTTTCTCTATTCTCCCTAATGTGTATCAATTTGTTTTCTATTGCAGAGGAGCTCTCGCTACGACCCCTGTGAGTTCCTAACTTTGTATTTGATGTTAATGTTTTATCGTATTCCAATGATTTATCTGGGCTTATTGTCTGCAATTTTGCTGCTTTGGGTTTATTGTCTGCATTTTTTCTGCTTGGATAAGAAGAACTCTATTCCTGAGGCACTAACAAACTCAAAAATAAGTTTTAAAAAACTCAAAATTACCAAATTACCACTTGATAAGGAATCGGGAGAAAACTGATCCTTTTTCATGGTTCTTTTCCTGCTTCCATGTCTGCATCCCCTAGCTTCTCTCCCTCCAATACACAATTTTTCTTACTGATGCCACTCTACATTCGGATTGTTGCTATGACCCATTATTTCAGAACCAGACCCTGTAGCCCTCTTACTTCCATGACCAGTTGCCGTCATCTTAGTTTAATGTCTCTCCTCTTGATTAGAGGAAGGGGGCAGTAACCAATAAGTAAGAAAACAGACTATGAATCAAACAGTAAGCAGGTTTACATCCTGTAATTCAATCTGAAACAGTCTTCAAGCACCAACTAACAGTTTAAAATGGTTTTCACGCATCAACCAACCATGGAACATTCAAGTAAATCTCACCCAACCATGTCATCTACAGGACTGGGTTGCAATTGGGGGAAAAATTCACCGAGTTCAAAACTGCATAAAATCAAATAAGACCGGTTATTTTGATTCAGAAAAGTCCTACAGAATAAGCTCTTCAGAGTTCATACCCCTATCTATGAAAACTTCTCATGTAATTGCACAAACTTGACAGATTACTCAAACCTGAAATTTTTAAAAACTTCATCATTAATTCTGAAAAAAAACCTAAAAACAGATCAAACACCTATACGTAAATGACTAAAAAAACCTCTAAATTCATCCTCTACCAGAATTAATTTTTTTTCAAGAGGAGCAGGTTAGTTGTATTCCTGCTGACATCACTGATGTTAGCAGTCTTTTTCCAATTAAAATCAAAGAAGGAAGAGAATCAACTCTTCTTTGTTCTTATACCAAGTTGTGCGTGTTAGATACCCCCATGCTTATAAAACATAGAATACTCAACAATGATCCAAGTTGTCTTTCATTGCAGTAAAGCTAATTATGTCAGTCAAGTCAGTCCTCTAATAAAGAGAATGTGTTTCTTTGGCAGAATCATTTAGGTCATTTGCCATTTCAGTTATTAAATTTAGTGACCCCTCTTTTTTTTCCAGTTTATTCATGCCAATTGATGAAGCATTGTAGATATGTCTTTCCTTCAAATAATAATAAAAGTTGTTTATTTGACATTGGGAATAGTGATGTTTGGTTTATTTCATGATTCACTTATCTGTTTGGCATTGGCAATTACTCTTGATTTATCTAGGTTTATCTAACTAAGAGCAGTCTGGTATCATAAAAACCTTTCATCCAGTTATCCTAATCCAATATATGAAAAGAATTTAGGTGTTTATTTAATTCTGACAATGTAAGGTTAAATAGAGTTCTTTGTGATGTTATTCACCATACATCTTGTTTTCTAGCCTTGGAATAAAAATATAACGGCTGAAAGAAAAAACAAACAGTTGATGGAAATTTCTTGGGGACAATGTTCCCTAAAAGTTCTGGTCAGAACCTATTCTAACCGTAGCTTATCTCATTACCATATGTCTTCTTTTGTCTTGAGTCTCAAATTTCCTTTTCAGGTTTTATGTAGATTGGTCTGTGTTCAATATTCCTCCATATGTCTTCTTCATTTCAAAAAGGTTATAAGTTTTATTTTCAAGCATTTGGGAAAAATTTATATGGTGATGTGACATTTTGGGAGTTCATGATTTTTCCTTCTCGCACATGCCTCTCTTCAAAGAGAGTATGATACATGTGAAATGCATCTATACCATTTTTCCCTCCATATTGTTGGTCATTACCTCTAACCTTGTTCTTGTTGTTCTTCCTCGGCCCGGTTCTGAGTTGCAAGCAGGAATAGATGAAGTGCACAAAAATATTCAAGTATACTCTAGGAGAAGGAAAGGTTATGGTTATTGCACTAGGGACTTTTTTGATATATGTAATGCCCTTAATTTTGAAACTATTCCTTCTCCTGTTTCTGATCTTTCATTTATCCATTACAGGCCTAAAAGAAAAGTGCAATTGTACTTTGCATCCTATTTCTTACTTTATTTCTTTAATACTTTGCTTCCTTCATATCATGTATTTCTTTACTGTTTTGTCTGGTGTTTCTATTCGTTTTATTGTAGAAGAAGCTGTGAGTCATCTAACATGGAAGGAGGTCATGGTTGAGGAGAGGAAAGCCCTTATTAAGAATGGTATTTGAGGGGTAGTTGATCTCCCTGTAGAGAAGAAATTGGTGGGTTGCAGGTTGGTATTCACAATCAAATAAAAAGTAGATGGCTTGGTTGAATGTACTAGGCCATGTTGGTTCCTAGGTGTCTCATTACTTGCATACTCTCTGGTAGCTAAAATGAACTTTATTAAGGTGATCCTTTTACTTGTGAACAAATTTGAGCGTTTGCATCACTTAGATGTAAAAATGTTTTCTTGCATGTAAACCTCAATGAAGAAGTTTACTTGACTCCTTGCTTTTGATTTCTAATCAGGAAGGAAGCATGTGTAGGCCCAACAGCATACCCAAGCCTGGTCTCTAGTTTTTAGCTATGCAGTTCAAAAGCTAGGATTTGTGAGGAGTCAAGCAGATAACTTGCTATTTGTGTGAAGAATTGGTGGGTTTACTACTATCCCTATTTTTTATGTTGGTTACATATTAGTCATTTTCTTCTTTTGATCAGTAACTGTCAAAGTTTATTTATTGATGAAAATAGAAGATATGCACATCAGGGATCATATTTCCAGTTGCCCACTGAGATAGCTAGCCTTGACTAGTCCTCTAACATTTGTAATACATGAGAAAACCCTTATTGGTTTACCCCTTGTTTGGCTAGCCGATCAGCCTTAGTATTTGCTAAACTGGGAGTCCAAATGTATGTTGTTATCAATTTGGCTGCGGTTTATTGATTTTCCTCACCATGTATTTACATCTCCAAGCTCCTACATACACCATTCTTCTTTGTCCATCCTATCACAATATGTGAGTCCCCTTCAACCAAAATATTCTTAAAGTTCATAGACTTAGCTAGTCAAAGACCTCGTAGTACAGCCATAACTTCAGCCTTGTAGAGTCACCTTCCCTACCAGACCTGAATATACTGCGAGGATATTTCCCTTTGAATTTCTGAAAAATCCCCCTATTCCAGATACCTGGGACCAAAATATTCTTAAAGTTCATAGACTTAGCTAGTCAAAGACCTCGTAGTACAGCCATAACTTCTGCCTTGTAGAGTCACCTTCCCTACCAGACCTGAATATACTGCTGCCAGGATATTTCCCTTTGAGTTTCTGAAAAGTCCCCCTATTCCAGATAGATCTGGGCTGCCCAAATGCAGCCATCAAAGTTCAGTTTGATTATATTTGAGTTTGGAGAGGACAAAGTGATAGGTGCACTCTCCTTAACATGGAGGTAGATGCCACTTGTTGCCAATTTCTTGAGATATCATCTATTGAGACGTATAGAAATGCTTCTAGACTCATGACCATATGGACAACTTTGATCATTATGTTTTCAATGATGGCTTCAACACCTTGGCACTTATCCTTAAAGATATGTGTAATTCTCTCCTCCCATAAGCACCAAAGTATGGCCACCCTAGCACCTTCATAAAGTTTCGTCTCTCTTCTTTGGTGGTGAGAAAAGCAAGGATGTCTGGGAGATGTCACCTGCAACCAAACAGAACATAAATAAATAAATCATCATCCACGCCTTATCCCAACTATATGGGGTTTTCTTACTACTTCTATCTATGTCCTTTTGCTCTACCCCTAGCCTTTCTAGCCCATTCAACTTGTAACAAATCAATTCTTCTAAATGGCCTAAGCCTTGAGGTATGGGGCACATGCCTTGAAGCGAGGTGCAAAGATTTTGCCTCAAGCCTCAAGGCATGAGGTATAGCTTGAGGTGTAAGACCAAGTATCAACGATTATTTAATGATTTAATGAAAAAATATATTTTATGCATTTTTATAGTTCAAAATATATGGAAGCAGTTAAATAATTACGGGCCAAATAAAAAGAGTAAAAATGAAAAACCAATAGGGAAAATCAAGTTCTTTTAGTTTCACTTAGTGTTTTAGGAAAGTTCAATGCATAAAAGGGCCAATCAAGTTCTTAATTTCTCTTGGATAAAAGTGAATCTTTTTCCCTTTCTTGACAGTGTAGCCGGCCAGAGATAAGTGGAAGAGGAGAGAAGAGAAGAGAAGAAGAAGAGAAGAGAAGAAGAAGAGAAGAGAAGAGAGGAGAGAAGAGAGAAGGTTTGCAATGTAACAAGGGAAAAGACCCTTGTGCCCCTGAGTACAATAACAGACATAACAAAAATAAAAAAACGAAATAAAAAAACACTT